ACTGCTCAATGCAATAGCTTTGCTGCTGCATTTTGGTTTTCGTATTAGAAAGGAAAATCAGTAAAGAAGGAATGTATTTGTTAAGCCATTTTATGAGGAGGTTCACTTAAACAATTAAATTCTAAGCTTGTGTAAGTAGAGAACTCCATAGTTCTTCTCTTGTCCACCTCAAAGTGATGAAAACCATGGTCAAAACGACAAATACCAGCGCGAGAGGAAAGCCTTACCAGATTGCTAGAGAACACATAAATAATGAGGTAGAAGTGCTAGACACCAGCAAACTAGCAATTTGCCTCAATTTCCACAAAATCTACCGTTTCCTTGAGATGTGTAACATTAATTGGGAGCTCATGTCAAGCAATTGGACATTCCATGGCACTTGCAAATGATAATTTAAAATACCAGTTTTAAAAGTTACAAAGATTCTGCAGGTAGCTCTCTGGGAACAGGAACTTTCTGTACTTTCTGTGAATTTGTTTTGTGGATTAATAGCTAAGTCGGCTCCCATCAGTTTTACCTCACTAATATTCCCATTAAATCCATTATCAGAGGGATCAGCGAGTCCTTGGCCTCCTGCATTAAAAACAACAGAGCCAGGGGCAAATCTCTGCCTGGAAAATTTGAGAAAGCATCTGTGAACGGGTGGGGAGCCAGTGAGCTGGCTCCAGGTGTTGTGAAAGCCACCTCAAATCTTGCACTATGCCCAAGTCCTATGTATTATGAACAGGGGTGCTCCTAGGAGGCAGAAACATCTTACAAACTCCTGTCAAAATGGTTCTTATTCCTCTGAATGGTCTGTTCCTTAATGTTATTCTGGATAATAAAGTGAAGCAAAATCCTTGGTTGAATTTTGTAAATACACAGATATTGTCTTGGTAAGATTTTTCTGGTCAGGCAGATGGCTCCTTGAAGTTCGTTTTCGTAGGAATAAAAGGATAGATATTAAAAAAAAAAAAAGCCTAATCACAAGGTCTAGTTTATCTGCATGAGATAAAATCTTTCAGAAAATAACCTTGAATTAGGAAGGCATTTCAAGCTGAATTTTACTTTTTGAACCTGTTGCAGCATCATACTGCAAAGGATCAGGTGGATGCCTAGTCCAGTTGCATGTTTCAGTGATGTGTTGGTTAAAGTAATTTCTTCTCGTTGCTTAAGAAAAAGTACGTCTTTTAAGTCTATGTTAATACCCCAAGGCTTTCAAAACACTTAACAAACCTGGCATTTGCAGGCTGGTAGTATGTTTTGCATAATATCAATAGCTTGTCTTTGTGGCCCATGGGAAAAAGAAATCCTTTTCTCCTTTGTGATGCATTCACACAGGCCCTCTGCCCAAGATGATTGCAAGTGGAAACACTTTTTGTCTTTTGAAATCTGAATTCCAGCAGGCCAGATGTTTTGATGAAGCTTCCAGTATATATCTAGCCAAAAAGGTTTTGCAAAACCTACCTGAGCTTTAGTGGGTGAGTCAGTCATATTTTTTGCAAGTTTGTGGATCCCTCGATAGTGTATATTCAAACGGATGCAAGAAACACTGCCTGATCTCTTCAAATGGTTAAATTGTGATTTCTGTTAACACTGCTTTGGCTTGGTGCACTCTGTTTCCTAGTCAATTGAGGATGAATTTGGACAGAGAAGCTGGCAAGGCTATGGTATTTACATAATGCCTTTTTTTTTTTCTATGAACCCTCAATGTGGATGGAAACAGTCTCTAATCTGCTTAGTGATCTAAGCAAAGATTGAATGCTTTGGGTCAAGCTGGGTTTTGGATAGGCTCAGTTAAGAGAAAAAAAAATTAAAAATCCCCGCTCTTCACAGTGATTGCAAATGGAAATACAGACCAAGCGAGTTAATGTTTCAGTAGTCGATAATATTTTTAATGTTCCATCGGTTTGCAAAGACCACATAATTTGTTTTCTACCATACTTTTCGAGACTTCTTGGAAACAGAACAAACAGCCCTTGTATTAAGCTCTGGGCACTGTTTGTGTTCGTTCCCCTTAGTATAGTTTTAAGTTGTATCGTGAAGGATGAAAAGGCAAATGTCAGAATAAGCAGCGTACAGGGGCTTCCTTTCCTCAATGGGCTCTGAATGGCTGGGAAAGACTGCAGACCTGACCTTAGTCCTTCTTGCACCACGACCTCTATGACATGGTAAGAGGAGGAGGAGTTCATTAGGTGACTGTCCTTTTGTACCTCAATTATTAAAACATTCTGACTGTGATTTTTATGGTATGTTACAGTAACCTGGCTTTTCAAACACTATCATAAAATTAAAGATGTGATTTTTGTTTTTTTTTAAAGTGGATAAATATCCTGAACTCAAGCTAGAAGTGACATTTCATACTTTATTTGCCTTGCCTGCCTAGGTTTATAGGCAGGTTCATAATTCATGCGGAGGTTACAGCTTCTCAAGTGCTCTGAACAACATGCAAGTACAATATGTTACAATGAAGGGGGTAAAAAACCCCAGTCTGTCCTATTTGCATTTTCCTTTTTCTTCAGGTTTACCTTTCCTAATCCAAAATTTTATGTTACTTGGCTTAATGTTACCATAAGTGGTTTTTGCGTGTAATGCATCTTCACATAAGATCACTCAGAGATTGATTTTTCAGAACATGGAAGTTAGTAGGAGCTGCTGGCCCTCTTTTAATATCTGCAGCCTAACGTTTACAAACCAAATGGTTAACTTTTTATGTGGCTACTTTTGTAACTAAGTTCAGCAGCAGGCATTTAATTTTTTTTCACTTCGTGTTCAATAATAGAATCAAGATTATATCCATCCCCTGCTTGAGCTTGCCACTGCTACATTTCATTAGCTTTCTCAATATTTGATGCAAATTATTTCTAATTAACATGCTTCTAAATAAAGGAAGAAAGCATTCTTAAAAACCTGTGTGCAATCTCTGTAATATTAAAATTTTATTCTCAACTATGAAGACTTGTACCATTTTATGACCTTTTTGAAAATGCTGCTGTTATTATTCTTATAGTTATTCCTGTAAGTGGTATATTTTCGAATGAAATGCTTTTTATCTGTACTATAATTAATAACCAGAAGTAGCTTACTGAAAACATAGTAAGGCAGGTAAGGGCATGATTAGTTATTGCGAGAAAGGAACACAAATTAACCATACTCAGAATTTCATCTTTTAAATATTCTGACTTTTTAATTAAGTCAAGGGAAATAATAGCTTCTATCTTTATGGTATGTGTTGTCACTGTAGCACACATTAGAGGTGCATCTGTTTAGGTTTTTTTCCCTTTACCTGTAAAGGAGATGATATGATTTGTTAAAAAGGAAAAAAAAAAGGGGGGGGGGGGGGGGGGGGGGAAAAAAAAGGAAGAAAAAAAGAAAGGGGAAAAAAAAGAGAAAAAGTGGTTTCTGTTTCTGTCAACTATGTCTTTGTGATTATCCAGAAATAAATTTGAAGAGTATAAGAAAATTTTGGCAGTCATTGTAAAGGAGTATAAAATTTGAAAGGGAGAAATCAGGGATAGTTTTGTAAACATATCTGCCTTGCATTCGCTGTATATAAGGAAAGTGTATAGAAAGGAAGGAAAATACACACACACACACACATATATATAAACTTTCCTTATAAATATTCTTTTTTATGTCTAAAAGGAGATATATATATGGGCACAATAATCAGAATAGATTATCGCAGGAGTCCGAATTGTGCTTCTAAAAATTTGTCAAAGAAGTTGACCGTATCTGACCGCTGAGCTCTGTACTGTACTACTACTTGGAAGAAATAAGAGATAACAAGGGGCCTGTGGCCTTAGAAAGCAACTTGTCAGTGAGATTGGGCCAATCTAAATCGGACTGCAACCAAAAGAAACTGTTCAGCCCTTCCTCCCTTTCCCCACTCTGGCAGCGAATTCCCCTTGTTCCTTTCCACCTGCGCTACTACATGCGTCCCCATGCCATGAGGAATAGTTGTCTCCTGCCCTACTTCCTTCACGTTGTTAATTTTTGTCCAGGTGAGCAATCCTGTCTGAGTTAGGGCACGAACTCTGGTGTCAACACAAAGGGCATCAGTGGATGCGTACCGCTGGGGGCCACAGCACCACACCTTTTAGTGGCAGTATGGATTTAAATCTAATTGAAAGCAACATGAAAAAGCAGCCCGAGCTTTACATGCATTGTGCCCCTTGTAACCAGAGCGTTCACTGCAGTAACGGGGGAGATTTAGACAAATACGCCGCGCGGCTAATTAAGGGCTCTTCTCCTAAAGAGGCTTTTGTCTCAAGCTTTAGTTCTGGAGATCTGAGTGTAGCCACCCACTGCCTCAGGTTTTGGCTTGTTCTTAGTTTTAGCTCTATGGCTATAAATACAGCTATATATATTTAATAAGTAGCTACTATAAACCACAGTAACAAAACAAATTTTAAGGCCTTTGTTTTATTTTAATGCATTCACCACTATGATACATGATAGAGGTGCTCTATTTCTGCTTTGGGATTTTTTTTTTTAAACTATTTAGGGAACAAATTATAGATGTTATTTTGTTCTGTCCGTTTCCAGCCAAGATTTCTGTGATGAATACTTACAGGTGATGGATTTGACTTAGGGGAAAAAGATATTACATCTATTAGCATTAGTGTTGTGCTATTCTACAATAGTAGAAGCTGGATGTTCATGAAGCTGGATGTTGCTCATACAGTTTCTATTTGAAATATAAAGGCTTGTTGCGGTGAAATTTCTCTTGTCAGAAATGGGAGCTGCACGTTTTACTCTAAAAGCAATGCTGGACTGACTGCATAACCAGGATGTGGTCAACCAGTCCCCTTACCATCCTTACAGAACTCTTCTCATAAAGTACATGGTAGCAGAAGGTTTAGAAAATACAATGCAATTTCTGCCTCAACATAAATGTCTCATGGATTCTTGTACCCTAAATGTTCCATTGCATTCGCTTTCATGTTATCTCATGCTCTGTAGCATTAATGAAAGCAACGAGGCATTATTTTGATATTGCTATTGATTTTTCTCTCTAGCTGTGTGCTGCCCACCTGCCAACCCGATCAGAGGCACCGAACCACTATCAAGCAGTATGTCGGGCTCTGTTCGCTGAAACAATGGAACTGTACACTTTCTTGGCCAAAATTAAAAGTGCAAAAGAGGTAAGCAGTCTGAGAAGGTTTTCTACTTTTGAGCTCATTACTATGTGAATTAGGCTTACAAAATCACTTCTGTACCCAGTCAGTAGTGAATGTCATACGCTTGAGGAAATTATCTGTAGCGTTCAGGGAGAGCAGTTCTACAGCTGAGGGTTTTTTTTTTTCTTTTGGCCTATTTCCTTTTACAGATGTCTCATAGAGATTGTTATTAATTGTGACTAGTCTATTTGGGAGTAAACCAGAAGTTTTTCCTTGGAGGGTTACACATTGCATACATGTATGCAATGTATTTGAGTCTGAAAACTTTCAGTTTCGGGATGTTGGGAAGCGTCAGAGCTTTGCCTGTTGTTCCTCAGCTCCTTCTCATGCCTTGTCTTTGGCTGAGAATTATCTGAGATTCTTCTTGCTCATATTGTCCCCAGTCAGCAGCTTCCCTTACCTTCGATGTGCAATTGGCTTGTTTGTCTGTCACTTAGACTTCACAGCAGAGTCAACTTAAAAAAAAAGAATTTCCACCTGTAGGTCGTGATGCTTATGTTCACTGCCTGCTTGGCTGCTACTGTTCTCTGAAAGGCCATCCTATGGACCACTGCAATTAAATGGTCTGGCTGAAGAATGACTTTGAGGATGGGTGGATGATTTTTAATGAAGATAGTTTCAATGGTCTGGCCTGCAGAATGGCTCCATAAACAATTGTATTAACACAGTGCCGGTCTTGCTTACATTGGAAAACTGGTGGGTGAGGGGAAGGGCAGGATGGGAAACATGCTTCTTAAAGCTGTTTTCTTTACTGAAGCCAACTTGTCAAGTAACAACACTTTCATAACTTTTATTTTTAATAAATCCCTGAAGGATTTTCTTTTGTTTGGTAAGTCAAGATGTACAGTACCTTTGAAAAGCAGGATAAGATTTTACAGGCTGATCTAAAAATTTGGCTGCTGAAAGAGGCAGAGCTATTCCACCCACACATACGGGCTCCCACTGTTTTCCTTCTTCGAGGTCTAGGAAACAAACACAGCATATACCAAAGAAAAAAAAAAGAGTCATTCCTTGTCAGGTTAATGAGCTGAATCAGCTTATTAAAGGATCACATGAGCCTCACAGCAACACAAAAGAGCTTCTGTCCTCACGTGGAAGACGCAAACCAGTCAGAGACATAAGGAAGTGGTGCTATCTTTCCATCCTATTTGAGATACATCCGTCTGAGGGGGAGAATCCTTCAGAGATGTTCTTCTGTTGCATGGGGTCAAGTTTCACCTCCACTTTTTCTCTAGTCCTACTTAAACTGAAAGCAATTTTCAAACCGAAGCAGTATCATACAAGGATAGTTTTGACAGTGTCAGCATGACTAAAGAGCCACTTGTTTTCTGAAGTGTCCGTTATGGTTCATCTGCATCCCGTGCCCCTGACACAGAGAGCAGACAGGATACTGTGTCTCTGTGCTAGATCTGTCTCCTGAACCGTGACGTCATTAATTTCACATCTCGACTTCTGACTGTTCTTAGTGTTCTGATCTCTGAATATACTAATTGAGGGACCTGTGCTGGAAACACCTCAGCTAACAGCTATTGCAAACTCCATATTGAAGTTCAAAGATAAGGCCCTTTAGGGTTCCTTCTGCTCAGACAGTGTCTACATTTAGCCTGTATCCAGGGTTGAACAATAACCAGCTGTTCTATTACCCAATGACTGCTCCCCACTTGAGAAGGGGAATTGGGATAAGGAAGGAAGACCTGTGGGTTGAGATAAGGACTATTTAATAATTGAAATAAAATAAAATAAAATAAAAATGGAAACTAATAATGATGATAATAATACTTATAGACAAGTGATGTACGGTGCAGCTGCTCATCAGCGCATTTGGCCAATGTCCAGCCTGTTTCTGGCTAGCAGTCCCAATTTATAAGTGAGCATTATGTTCTATGGTATGGAGTACCCATTTGCCAGTTCAGATGTCAGTCACCCTGGCCACACTCGCCCCAGGTTCTCAGACATCTGGGTCCTCGGCAAGAAACAAGTTGAAAAGTTCTTGAGCACTAGAGATACCCGCATATCACGGCTAGCTGCAAACTGAAACAAAGTGTTATCAACTTTGTTCTCACCAAATCGAGTGCTACAGTCTTTTTAAAAATGCAGCTTTAGAAATGTAGCTTCTCTGAAGAGAAAATTGGCTCTATGATTCTATCCCAGTGAAACCAGCACAGAGAAAAATTATGTTTCCAGTAGTTCTTGAGCGTTTTGGCCACAGTAAGCAGTAATAAGGCACAGCAAGCAGTAATGATGACACCAAGCTGAGTGGTGTGGTCGACACGCTGGAGGGGAGGGATGCCATCCAGAGGGACCTTGACAGGCTGGACAGGCACGCCTGTGAGAATCTCATGAAGCTCAGCAACGCCAAGTGCAAGGTCTTGCACATGGATCGGGGCAATCCCAAGCACAAGTACAGGCTGGGCAGAGAATGGATTGAGAGCAGCCCTGAGGAGAAGGACTTGGGGGTGCTGGTCAATGAGAAGCTCAACATGAGCCGTCAATGTGCGCTTGCAGTCCAGAAAGCCAGCTACCTCCTGGGCTGCATCAAAGAAGTGTGACCAGCAGGTCGAGGGAGGTGATTCTGCCCCTTTACTCTGCTCTCAAGAGACACCACCTGGAATACTGCGTTCAGCTCTGGAGTCCTCAACACAAGAAGGACGTGGAGCTGCTGGAGCGGGTCCAGAGGAGGGCCACGAAAATGATCCGAGGGCTGGAGCACCTCTGCTGTGAAGACAGGCTCTGAGAGTTGGAGTTGTTCAGCCTGGAGAAGAAAAGGCTCTGAGGAGACCTTCTGGCAGCCTTCCAGTACCTAAAGGGGGCCTACAGGAAAGCTGGAGAGGGGCTTTTTACAATGATGTTTAGTGATAGGACAAGGGGCAATGGCTTTAAACTGAAAGAGGGGAGATTTTCATCAGATCTAAGGAAGAAGTTTTTCACTCTGAGGGTGGTGAGGCACTGGAACAGGTTGCCCAGAGAAGTCGTGGATGCTCCATCCCTGGAAGTGTTCAAGGCCAGGTGGGATGAGGCTTTGGGCAACCTGGTGTAGTGGAGGGTTTCCCTGCCCATGGCAGGGGGATTGGAACTAGGTCATCTTTGAGGTCCCTTCCAACCCTAACTATTCTATGATTCTATGATCTCTGTTGTCAAGGACAATTAAAATATTGTGGTTTATAACCATTTAAAATTAAGTATAACACCTGATCACACCATAGAGCATACTATGAGTTAATCCCAAATGAAAGAAACCGTTTGCCTCTCAAAGGCTATTAGAGATTGATTCAAAGCACATTTAGGTCAAAAGAAGTAATCCTTGTAGATGGAATTTTAGCCCTACTGAAATCAGTAAGACTTTTATTGCTGCACCAAACCAAAGCCAGAATTTTGATCTTTTGATTTCATTTTACTCTCCCAGTAGGCATACAAGAAGAGACCAAGAGAATTATCGTACAAGCAGCTTCTGGAATCTGAGTACTTTGGTTTTATTGTGCACTTGATCCTTGCTTATAGCTTTCATCTAACTATAGATTTGGAATGTATTTAATTTTGAAAATAATGTAGCTTACAAAGAAAAAAATAACTATGAAGAAAATATGAGGTGGAATGCCGTAAATCTTGTTACACCATTTTAAAATTACCTCTATAGTTTATACTTGAGACAAGCAGGAATCATATGATCACACTAGGTTTGTGCCACTAAAAGCTGTGGTATTGTTTATATGTTCTTCTGTCTTGCAAATACAAAACTTGGGAAAAAAAACCAGTTACATACGTCAGCTCCAGTTAAAAAAAACTTATACTATGTCATATTGGTTTCATGATACTAAAGATGCCAGTAATTTTAATAATAAATAATAATTTTGAAATAAACTGTTAGTTTATTTCAAAAGCTGACAGCTTTATTTAGAGATCTTTCTTAAGAATCTCTCAGACCTAGACATAGTTGTGGACGTGAGATCAAAATGGAATTAAAAACACTAAAGAGTGGGAAAAAATATTCTAAAATTACTTAAAATAGCTTTCCTCTGAATAAAAATTACTTTGAAATTCCTTGGGTTCCTTCTAGGGCCACTGAATGGCATCTGGGTTTCTGTTTCCCAGGTATATGAAGTTCATAGTTTTTGTTTAGTAGATGCTTAAACAGCTAACTTCACTGTAGGAAGGAGAGAGAATTTTTATCTGCAGTAATTCACTTGCTAGGAGTGGACCAAGTCTGTCCTATCTTATTCTACAGCCCAGGACAAGTTTAGAAGGGAAATAAACTGTGAAAGAGGCAGAAAAAAATATTGCTGTGATGCTGTTTTTGATTTGGCACTCTAAAAACTTTTCAGAATATTAAAAGTCGCAGGATTTCATGAGGAATACATCAGGAGGCAGGAGGGATAGGCCTATAGGGTTGTAATATGTTTTGTTTCTGATATATACACTGAATAGTTGTGTGCTCTCCAGTCTATCCTGTCAACATCACTGTCGTAAAACAAGCGGAGCGGAGCTTCAGAAAGGGTTTTACTGGCATGCATTTGAGTGAGTGCATTAATCAGAAATGATGAAGCAATGAGTGAACTGCTCAGGTCATCTCAATGGATGTCAAATAAAATGTTGTAGGCACTTTGTCACATACTTGATACCGTGTGGATTTTATTTCCACTCTGATTCCCTGTGTATGAAAGGTCAGCAGTAAAGCCGAGGTGCAGACAGGGAAATGGTACTTCTCTTCCTAAAGAGAATGACATTTTTCATGTAGTGGATGCACAGGAGAGGACTCAAGCCACAGTTGAGAAAGGTGTGATACTACTATTGCAATAGTAAAAAAAAAAAAAAAATAGAATAACAGTAGTAAAATTCTATATTTCTGTCGAATAGCAGCAGGAACTCCAAAGGTAGGCTTGAAATCAAGTTAACTAATCTGATCTAACTTTGCATCTTTTTGCAAGGTGACGTTTTTCTAGCAAGTTTCTGGGGTGTTTTTTTCAGCT